TTCTTGTCCAGGCTGGCTTTGAACCGTGATCTTCAGATCTCAGCCTCCTGAGTAGCTCAGACTACAGGCGTGAGCCACTGGCACCACTGGTGCCCGGCCTATTTAATTTGTCAGTCCAATGCATCCTTTGAGTGCTTGTCACCATCACTATCCAAATTGTCCATGTGCAAGCGGCCCAGCCTCTGGGCCTTGGTGCCATACAGCTCAGCCTTGGGTCTGGCAGGGATGCCAGTATCTAGGTAGCCATTCTGTCTATGCCATTTCTCTACTGCTGGGCTGTGTCATAGCCACAGGGGCTCTTGGGAGTTGGACATGCCAGGTCAAATAGGCTACTGTTGGAGCTAAGGTTAAAGCCAGAGGCCCCGGAGGGCTGGGGGGCAGCTGGACAGAGGCACTGAGAGCAGAAAAGAGTTGCAAAGAGAGCAGGAGAAGGAGGGAGGGCAGAGAGGGCCTGGCACCCCTGCCTTTGCAGCCAAGTTCTTTCTCTAGGATGGGCTGTGGTGCTGAGTGCAAAGGTTCCTGAGACCCAGAGGGGCGCAGAGCTGGCACCAGGGCCTGCCCCGTCATCCCAGCTGCTCAGGAGACTGAGATCTGAGGGTCAGGGCTCGAAGCTGGCCCGGGCAGGGAAGTCTGTGAGACTCTTATCTTGGATTAATCACAGAAAAAGCTGGAAGTGGCGCTGTTGCTCAAGTGGTAGAGTGCTAGCCTTGAGCAAAAGGAGCTTCGAGACAGCGCCCAGGCCCAGAGTTCAAGGTCCAGGAGCAGCAAAAAATAAAAAATAACTCAGGTTTGGTCCCCTTGGAGATGCTGAACTTGCGAATACTCAGAGGGGCAGAGGTCGGCCTTATTTAGGTGAGCCCCAGTGCTCATGCATTTTAGGTTCTAGGGGCCACCTGCGGTCTTGACCCAGCATCCTATTGGAGGGGTAGTCTGTCAATCAGGTGGGGCCACGCCCCTGCCTGCACATGCTCGCTGAGGATGCAGAGCTGAGTTACCCAGAATGGTGACTGGCTCCAGGGCTGTAGCAGCCCCACTGTGCAGTGATGCTTTAAGCAGTGAAGCTTTACACATGCATACACTGCTGGAGTGTGGGGACAGTGGACTGGACTCAAGTCCTAGCACATCTCTACCTGTGTGCGATCTTGTGCGTGATCTGTGTGTCCTCAGTTTCTGCATCTGGAATATATGATAGCCCCTGCCAGCTGGGGACGGAGGGAGTCCTGCCCTCGCCTGTAGGCCTCCTCCTGTGTTTGTGATTCACGTCCGACATCCTCAGATCTAACGAACATCTCTGCCAAACACATCATTGCAAAACTCCTGATTTCTGACCCTCAAATCCTCCTGCATCCCCTCACCAAGAGGCAGTATAAGCTGAGCATGGCAGTGTATTCCTGTAATCCTGGAACATGGAAGGCTGAGTCAGGAGGATAATGAGTTTCAGGCCAGTCTGGGACCTTGTCTTGTAAAGAAAAGAAAGAGAAGAAAAAGGAGAAGAGAGAAAAGGAGGAAGAGGAAGAAGAGAAAGAGGACAATAGTAATAGTGTTTGTTCACCGTGTGTGAGGCCCTGAGTTCCAGAAAAGTATGTGTGTGTGTGTGTGTGTGTGTGTGTGTGTGTGAGGGGGGAGGGGGGGGAATAAATAGAAGTAACAGAAGTTCTACTTCTCTTATTTTGACCCAGTCTCTAAAATGCCCCAAGCTCGCTGGCTTATCTCCAGTGTGGGCACACCTTTGATCCATGCCAGCCCTCTGGTTCTGGGTCCACCACGCAGCCTCCCACAGCCTCTCCGTGGGGCAAGCAGGGGTTCAGGGGTGTCAGTGCTTCTAAGATCCAAGTCACAGCTCTACCCTTCCTTCCCTCTTTTAACCTTTCATCATGGAAATTTCCAAACACAGACCTGGGAGGGTGGAGAGACCCCGCTCCAGGCGTGTGCTCTCCCTGCGCCTCCTCCTTGTGCAGAAGCAAATCTCAGAGCATCTCACCTCATCTCTAAACAAAGTAACTGTTTCAACCCTAAACTCAGTAGCAACACTGCTGTTGTTACTGCTGTGCTCAGAGCCTTCAAGGGCTGGCACTGCACTTCCTGCCTGTCACCAGGCCGGCTCCGGACTGTCCCTGCCACTGGCTCCTTCTCCAGTCTATGAGCCCTCACCCCACCTAGCCCCAAGTCACAGCAGGAGCTCCCCAGAGGGAAGAGCTAGGGTGCATTACAATCCGAGTTGCTTTAAAAATCCTCTCCTGGCTGAGTGGGGATGGGGGAGCAGAAGACAGTGATGTGAGTGAGATAATTAAAGAACACGGTGGCAGCTTGGAGCCTCGCTCACAAGACAATGTGCTACAGCAGTCTGTGGTCAACACCTCCACCCCCCACCCCCCACACACATTGTCCCCCATTTTTGTTTTTGGTCGGTCATGGGGCTTGAACTCTGGGCTGGGGCGCCATCCCTCAGCTCTTCAGCTGAAGGCTAGTGGTCTACCACCTGAGCCACAGCGCCACTTCCTCAGATCTCAGCCTCCTGAGTAGCTAGGATGACAGACATGAGTCACTGGCACCCACTCATTTTTCGTGGGGCTTTAACTTTGGAGGCCTGGGTGTTGTCCCTGAGCTCTTCAGCTCAAGGCTAGCGCTCTACCACTTGAGCCACAGCACCACTTCCAGTTTTCTGGTTGTTCGTTGGAGATAATTGGAGATAAGAGTCTCATGGAAGCCAGGCACTGGTGGCTCACGCCTGTAATCCTAGCTACTCAGGAGGCTGAAATCTGAGGATCGCGGTTCAAAGCCAGCCTGGGCAGGAGAGACCTTGAGACTCCTATCTCCAATAAACCAC